TATGATTGATCATTGAATTAAATATTTTTTTATTAGAAAATGAGTTGGGCTAAGAACTTTTTAGCACTCTTAAAATGAAACTGCTAAAATTAAATATTGTTTCATCTGATAACAATCTGTTACTAGATTCTCTAATCAATTTGAATTGATTAAACATCTTACTTCATGCAGTCAAACAATATGGCTTTTGCTTCTCTAGGTCAAATACTGATATGTTAATGGTTATTGAGTATGTCAAGCTTTAGATAAGAACAATGACGCTCAATCTGTGGTTTTAGATAGCTAGAAGAGGTTTGATAGGGTTTAGCATGCTTGCCTTCTTCACAAGCTTAAGGGCTATCGTATCTCAGGCTGTATTTTTGATTTGATCCAATCCTTCTTACACCATGTAATGATAGTCATTTTAAATGACCACTCTTTTCAAAATGTGTCCTCCAGGGATCTATCCTTGGACTTAGCCATCAGTTTTGAACTCGGCATTTATACTGATGACACAACTATTTACTCCTATTTTAATAGTAAATCTGATATGTTCAATAAAGTAAAGCTGGCAACTGATCTCGAAAATGACCTTCAATCTGTTATTAACTGGAAAATTAACTTGCAAATTTGAATGTCTCCAAAATGAAACTTGACTTTTAATCATCTTAGAGAACTATTTTTACCTTCTATCCGCATGGCTGATGCTCTTTGCCAAGAGAGCAACCCATTGCACATTCTCAGTCTTACATTTTCTACTGATATGAAGTGAAACAATTGCAAGTTTATATTGCTAGGAAAGTTGGCTCACTGTGTTGTACCCAACAATTTTTGCCAGAATCTATCTAACATGTTTATAAATTTTTACATGCATTGAATATTGCTACCATATCTGGTTTGGTGTTCTTATATATATATATATATATATATATATATATATATATATATATCTTGAAATTCTTGACAAAATCCAAAGAAGGGTTTGTAATGTTAATGATCCTTACCTGGCATCCCAGCTTCAATTATTATCCTACTGCAGTCATGTAGCTTCCCTGTGCTTTATCTATAAATATTTTCATGGCAACTGTTCTGAGATTTCTTCTTTGATACATCAACCCCATGAATTTAAGCGTATTACTAGATTGGCAACTAGGTCTCATCATTTTGCTGTTGAATTGGCTAGATGAAACTAAGTTCTATTCTAATAGTTTCTTCTCTCGCACTTCTTGCCTGTGAAACTCTCATCCAGCTTTTTGCTTTCTTGTCAAGTATGATCTTCAAATATTTAAATGCAGCATCATTTGTCTTTCTGAAGCCTGTTGTTCTTTTTTTTTTTTCTTTTTTTCTTTTTGTTGTCCCTCTTCACTAACTTCTTACTTTCTTTCACTCTCATCAACCTCTTGCATCTTAGTGGCATCACTATCTTGCTTGGAGTGACATGATTTGAAAATGCATTGAATCAATTTGGAAATGTTGTTTCCCTTCCATTCCAGGGATCCTTAGTTTCTCACTCCAGTATCATGTTTTGCTTTCAAGTTAAAAAGCATATTTTTAAAAAAAAAAAAAACTTAGAAAAAAAAATTAGATTTATACGTACCATTAAGTTTCCTGATGATGTAAAGCTTATTTATAAAGAAAAAAAAATTAGGTTGTTTCATTTCACATTGATTATAAACTATATTCATCTAGGGTCACTGTACAATTTTGTAAGCAGGTCAACTAATATCATTAATAAAAATTTATTTAATAGTTTTATATAACTCTTCAAATATTGTCATAATTTTCTACTTGGTTATTTGGGTTCCTTTAGCCAAAGAGAATTTGTCTGCCTTCTACACTCTTATGTTTGTATATATTAAAGCAATTTTTTTTTGTCTATGTATTTCTTAGCTTCTAAATAACATCTTTTATTTCTTCAGTGTGTTAATATTTCACATATATAATTTGAGGTTCTGTCTGAAGTGAAAGTGTTACTTGAGTATTTGAGGATTCTGGTTAATGTCTTAGTTAGTCAGCTGACAAAATATTTTTGAGAATCTTTAGCACTTCCTTTAGCTGCTGTATTTGTGAGTGTATGCTCACATTAAGATGGCAAGCTTTTGAAAAAAAACCAGGTGTGCCAACTAGGAGACTCTAGCCTTCTGTTAATGTTTTATATTTAATGTTAAAGAATAAAAAAAAACAAAAAAAAACAAATTAATACTTGAGGAATGATACTCATAGATTGTATGAAGTCATTTTTATTACTAGTTTCTTCTCATATAACCCTATCATTGAAATATACTTGTTTGTGATGATTGTTCCTCATTATGCAAGTATTTTATAATAGACGTATGCTCCTTGCTAATTTTTAAGTTAATTGACATCATGTTTTCTAATATATAAATTAACTTTCTTTCTGAAATGTAAATGACAAGCTTCCAACTTTGTTAGACAGACTATTTTATTATTAAATGTGCTTGTCACAAATAATTGGGATTATTACTTGATGATATTGTCTTGATTCAGTTATGTCATTAATTTTTCTGTTCTGGTAATTGATAACTTGTGCCACTGGGCAGGAAAATGTTGTTAAAGTGAAATGAGAAAATCTCTTCTGTTACCCCCACCCCGTAAGTAGAAAAGGCAATTAATGAGATTGCTCTTTGTATAAATGTTATTCTCCACCCTCTCAAGTTCGACCTGCATTCCACCAATCATAAAAGGAACAAGAAGATGCAAAATAATGAACAGGCTCTTTCAAGAAAATGTTCAATCAATATAGCACATTCTTACCTCAACGTGCATGGTATAAAGTTGTGCTAAAACCATTTGTTACATTGTACTCATCAAATGAAATAGACTATTGTTTGGGTTTTATTGTATTTGACCTCCTCTCAAAGTTGATTAGGACTGGGGTTTTTTTCTTTTTCTTTCTTTCTGCCCCACCCCAATTTGTTGCTCAGGGGGATCTGAAAAGATTTCACTTTCTCTCTTCACTACTCTCAATATTAATGGACTTTTCTTTTAACAAATATAGGATTTACTTATAAGGTTTTTTAGAAAATTCTGAAAAGACTTAAAAGAATATCACTGAAGAATTTAAGAAATTTCTTTGCTTTAAATAACCTAAATGGCATCTACATTTAACAAAACTTTTTCTGAAAATAAAGATACTGAAAACTGTAAAATATAATTTGAAGCATATTCACAACTGCTTTTTATATATGTCAATACTTAGTTTTAGTGTGTCTTTGTTTCTTCTTTATAATGACTCAATAGACTTGCCACATATTGCTGTAATTCTTGTGATTTTGTTTTCTCACAAAGATTTTCTTCGCTATGAATGGCAGTTTTTTTAAATGTTTACTTCTTTAGGAAAGAAAAAAAAAGACCTTCAGATTTTCAAGAAGGAAATTTATTGAAACAACTGGTGACTATTTTACTAAGAAATTGTACACAATGTTACTAGTACTACTGCTGCTGATATACTCTTAGGGCTTCATCTAGCCAGGCCACATTTGCAAGTGCATTACAAGAGAAGTTTTTCATTCTTAAATAATCTCATTTTTTTTGTTTTCTTTTGTATCTGAAAATTGAAATGTAATTTTCTTTTTGTTGGATTTCATTTGTTTTGTCATAAATTTTGAATCTATAGAAAATAGATGAATTAGATCTCTACCTTATGCAATCATTTTTCCTTTCTACTACATATTCTTGAGATATATAAAAATCTTAATTAAAATACTTTTTCTTTCTTTTTTTTTTTTTTTTTTTTTTTTTTTGTCTGCTTACAATTTTCTCCTGTTTACTTCAGCATTTTCATTCTTTTAATTCTTCATTTGATGATAATGTATTAACATTATTATTAAATTCACTACTCTTTGTTCTTTTTACCATGATGGATTTTGATCAGGGGACAAAGTTTATTGAAAAGACAACTGGGTGGTGAGGGGAGATTATCAACATCTAGTCTATATAAAAACAGGTTTAATATGCTTATTAGAAGAGTGGGAGGGTTATTTCTTGATATTAAAAAACAAAAAAAAAACTTGCTTCTTGAAATGACCAAACCTTGCTCTCCTTTTTTTTTTTTTTTTTTCCTTTCTCTAAGGTTGAAAACATTTCAGCGTCATCTTCTGTATCTGCACTTGTTTGTTTCTGTAATTTATTTATTTTTTCTTGAATGGTGAACAGGTTAAACAAGATTTTCTTGTTTTTTTTTCTTTCTTGTTCTTCATTTACACTTGTATTTTAAACTGTTGGTTTTGTTTATTTTGAAATCTTTAACTGGACTAAATTATAAACAAAATAGGTTTTGATATTTTCTTTGTCTTTCAGTTTAATGATTTTAAATATTTCATTGTCTCTCAAAGAATTTCATATCAATGAAATTGAACATTACAATAAAAACTTTTTATAATATCTATATAATATAAAGATTAAATTCTTATAAGTAGATAAGCATTTATATCTAAGGAAAAAAATGTTTAATAAAATCTTTTCAAATCCTCAAAATAGATTTATATTATTACCACCCAGTTCATTATTACTTCAAACCTTATTCTACTGGATACACCATATTTGGAACAGATGCCCCATTTTAATTTATTAAAGTGTGTATTATGTCTATTGGACTGAGCATTCCAGAAATCTTAAATAAAATGCCCACCTTTTTTGTAGGAGAAACTACTGTTTGATCCAGCATGCTTTACAGATAAAGGCTGATAGATGTAATAAACACTGTTTAATAAATAAATAAAAAATTTCAAATATGGATCCATTAATTCTTTAGAAATAACCTAATTCTTTTTATTTAATTTTCTTATTTGTAGTTATTTATTTGGCATATTTTGTATGTTGAGAAAATGTTTAAAAATCATATATAGTAATTATGAAATGTCTTAACAAAAACCAGCAGTTTAAAATATCTTTAATGATCATGATTTTGTTACTTAAATTAATTGATTATTAAAACTTAATATTCATAATGCTTGAGGGTTGATTCACAGAGGGATTAAAAATGAGCTCTCAGATAAATTATGAGTTACTTTATTTGCAGGTCTGCTGATACACAAAAGTCCTCTGAACCTGTGTATGAAGAGGAAGATGAAGAGATTCTTGGGTCCGATGATGACGAACAGGAAGATCCTCGGGACTATGTGAAAGGTAAGGTTTTCTTTTATTTTTGACAACTACAACTTGGAATTATTTCTTATTCAGTGAATTTTTCCACTTGCACTTGCCTCATTTTTTTATGACTAATTTATAACTTGAGGCATCATTAGAATTGTCTTTCCTTTGTTTGTTTTTTAAATTGCTTTTTAAGATTAAGAAAATGTTATATATTGATTCAGCCATCACCAATCTAAAAGAATTACTAAATCATATTGAAAAATTGTCAAGTACAGTTGATAATGTTTGAAATCACTTATACTTGGCCAATTGCTAATATGCTCTTTTTAGTACGAAATCTCAGCTGATGAGTTTTGCTATTTTAAAGGACAATGTTTTGCTGTTAAAATTTAAGTGAGGAGAATCAAGTTGAAGTGTCAAATTCATTATCTACTTCTTTGGAGTTAGATTTCATTCCTTGTAAGTTTGTTTTAAAGTTTGTTCCTTTTCCTGTTGGCTATAAGGATGCCCTTATTTAATACCGTGTTCATTTTGGTTGATTCCAAGAGTTAATTATGACTGAATAGTTTTCTTTATTAGCAGTATTGGAGTTGACAGACTGAATATTCTGTGTAATCTTTATATAACTTATATTTAAACACTGCCATTAAAGGTCTAGAAGGAAAATAATGCGATCTAAATAAGTTGAACTAAATAAGTAACCTTTTGAAAAGATTGCTAAATAGGGCATACATCAGAATTAGATTGGAAACAGGACAAGAACAGTGCAGTTTCTTTAAAAATATTTAAATAAGGAATGCAATATTTGTTTTAAATGATATCAAAAAAAGCAATACAAATGCAAAAAGATTTATATCTATGTTTTATAGATTATATAAAGATGTTTGATGAAAAGTATGTTTCAACAAACTGTTGAAATTGGTTGGTAACCTTGACATATTTGGGAAGGATATCTGAATAATCTACAACCTATACTGGCAGCAAACTGCCTGCATATTGATAGAAAATGAATTCAGTAAATATACAAAAATAGAAAGGGGCATAAAACAAGGATGTGGTGCCTCACCAGACTTATTCAGCCTTTACAGTGAGGTGATCCTAAGAGATTTAGAAGTCCTACCAGGATTCATTATTGGTGACCACCATCTTAACAACATAAAATATGCAGATGGTCATGCTGATAGCAGACTCTGAAAGGAACCTACAAGAGATCCTTCAGAAGGTAGTGAGAGAAAGCAAGAAGAAAGGACTAAGCATTGATTGTAAGAAGATAGAATGCATGACTGTCAGTAGAACAAACAGCCCAACATGAATATTACAAATTGAAGATACCAAAATCAAGCAGGTACAATAATTTAAATATAGTTCTACAGAAGGATGCTGAGAATACCATAGACTGAACATGGGAGAAACAGGCTTTTAGAGTAAATGAAAAAGACACATACTTAACTGAAACAGTTCACATTTCTAAGGCACATAATGAAGAAAGAGGGCTTGGAAAATTTGATACTCACAGAACATATTGAAGACAAGAGGGGGACAGAAGAAAAAACAGCTCATAACTCACCAAATAAGCTTCTGTAAATGGTTGACATAAGAGGCTTTAAGAGAGAGAGATTACAAAATTTATTAAGAGCTACAAAAAACAGGAAATTGTGGAGAGCCAGGATCGCCAACTTCTTGAAGGGACATGTCACATAGAAGAATGTTTTATTTGCATAGTGCTTGTCCTATTTTGTAGATAAAATAATTTTACATATGCTTTTTCTTGTTGCCCAAAAGTCATTGATTAATTTCTTTCTTTCTTTCTTCCTTACACATTACTTCCAAATGAAGCAATTTGATTTTTTGTAAATAAGTTGAATGTTTGTTTGTACATTACACAATTTGATTCATCCTGCTGAAAACATGAGCTGATCTTTGTAAGAAAAACTATTTTCAATCATTGTTTTGACCAGTTAAAAGCAAATTATATTGGTTTTACTTCTTGGGTAATTGATTAGAAATGATACTGGCTAGAAGATCAATTGTCATTTAAGTATTTACCAGTATAAAAGATCTCCTTTTAAAGAATATTTCTGATCTGGCTTAAAAATATTCTTTAACACCAGGAGGTAGAACTGAAGACTTATTGGTTCATGGTCATATGCTTTATTGCTGAGCTATTTCAGATAATCTTTGAGAGCTGACTGCCTATTTTTAGGACAGTTATTGCATTCCATAATTGAAATAATTGGTCTAACAGATAATCAATTGCTGCAACCATGCAACCAATAACAAAATGATTGAAATCCTTATGAAGATTCTATAGATATAGTACCCATCTAACTACTGCAGATTTACTTGTATTTACTTACGTATCTTTAAGTAAAAAAAAAAAAAAAAAAAAAAAAAAGCATAGCCGTATCAGTTCTTTTCTATTCAACTGAAACTTTAATAGACAACAGCTTTCATATAAGGATTAATTAGCACTTTGAAAAGTTCAATAAAATGTAAGTTGTGATCAAATCTCTTACTGAATAGATTTATCATTTATCAGGATTGCTGAATGCCTGACCAGCTCTCTCCACATTGTTTCACTAGGTACTCAAACATGCATATAGTGTGTCTTTTGGGGGGGGGGAGTGGAACCTAAGATTTACCTTGTTTCCCCACTGAGTCAGGCTGTGACACAAGGCCAGTTTTTAACGTGATGGAGACTTGAGTGTTTCTATTCAGGTTGCTGGTCAAAGCTTTTCTTAGCTTGTTATAGCCAGTCATACCACTGCTACGTTATGCAATATTATGCAATGGGGTGGGATGTAAGGGAGGAGAGAAGGCCTCCGGCATAGAACAGATACTACATCTGCAGTATCCATCCTGATGGGGGGAAAAAACCCTTTCTCATCCTTCTCCTCTACCAATCCCTCTGGAAGGCGAGCCCCTAGACCTTGTAGAATCCTTCAGATTTGAAGGCTCACCTTAGTCACATTGGTGGTGGTGGGACTTCTGCTTGGCCATTGTCTTGGGTCTGGTTCCAAAACTCACCAATGTTGTTCCATCATCAGTACTCTGGATATACTGGCAGTAGTTTAGTACCATGTACAGATTGGATGAAAACACAGGACCTCAGAACCACTGTACATAGAGCTATCTGCATAATTCATTGCCAAAGCAATGAACTAAGGAAATTCTCTGAATATTAACATAATGGATTATTGTCAAATGTAAATATTATTATAGATGTATAAATTTTATATATATATATATATATATATATATATATATATATATAATAAAAAACAATTGTGGTGTTAAAACAATTCTTTAAATGTTAAATAGAAAATAGACTGTACATAATAAAAAAAAGTAAAAATAAATATTGAAGTATAAATGCTAGTTTCAAGACATCTCTCCCTACATATTCAAAAATACATCCTCTTCCTAAAATAATGTTAAAACATAAATAAAACCTGGTCATTTGGGGCAAAATATATAAACAAGTTAGCAAATATAAGTATTTGTAATAAAATAAGCTTTCCAAATAACTTTTTAACTAAAGCAATGAATACCAGTTAACCAAAATAATAAACAAAATATTTTAATAAATAAAAATAACAAATATATAATAATCATAACTTTTCTTCTTAAAAATTCATTGCTTTCTTGGAGCAATGAAAAAAGATGTCTGTTTGTTTACAATGTCACATAAATAGATTACGGCAGCACAGTAATTTATAGAAAAATCTTGAAATTGTATAGGTTTCATCCTACCCAAAGTGACAGGAGCTTTTCATCACCCAACCTCGAATACACTCATTGTATATAGTTTCATTTATGACCTTTTCAGTAACTCCCTCATTTTGCTTTCTGCTATTAAAAGAAAAACTGTATTAGTTTATACCATTTAATGCTTAATATTCAAGCAAGAAATGGTGTTTATTTCTATTCCTGTATCATAGATCATGATGACCATTGTCACCTTGAGGATGTTGGCACCTACTTTGTGTGTATTTCTTACGAATTCTTATAAAATCTCATTAATTCATTATGAGCGAGTTTCGACATTATTGTTAGCTACAAATTCATTGCTGTTATTATTCTTTCTTTTTTTTTTTCTTTAGCTTATTTTACTTAGATTCTTGGAGAAGCTATTGTACCAAATTATCTTAAATATTTAGTCACTTGCAAACAACTGTACAACCTTTAAAATATCCTTGAACTGTTTCTACTTGCTATTGTGCATAGTTTACTGGGGCAAACTAATGGTGCAATCCATCTGATTATATTTCTTTTATCCAATGCATTGGTGTCTATATTTAAAATGATGTTCAACATCGTGTAGATATGACTCAGTTTCTCTCCCTATTTCCTGTTTACTTTCATCTTGCATATTACATATTTACTGATTAACTTAGCAGTTCTATAGTAAACCCTCATTAATGAGGATGTTTTTGTGACAATATGAAAGCAAAAGAATTTGTTGGGGGTTGAAGAGTTGACCATTGGATTTGTTGGCATTTCAGGGAAAGGAAACTATCTTGTATGCCTTGAGAAATGTATAATCATTTTGTGCTGTCAATAGCAAAGAAAAATATTCTGTTCATTACACTCGTTGACCTTCTTTAGATTTCTGTTGTACTTGGTAACCTCTTCAGAATTTTGAACTACACACTCACTTCTGATTTCCATATTTATCTTTCTGTAGATATTGTAGTTAATTCTCTCTAGTCTATTTTCCTTTTATGACACTTGTTTGTTTCTTCTATTCAATCATAGTATATATGACTTTTCTACATTACCTGTCCCAGGGATTGAATTTACAATTGCCAACAAACAAGATCTGCTTTAACTAATGCTTTAATCCACTGGGCCAGGTAGCTTTGGAACAATATTCATGTGGTGGAATCAACTCTGTTGAGTTCTGACAACCTTCTCTATAGACCTTGCTGAATTGTCCAAGAAACAAATTTAGTTTAGGGGATTCATGCATTAGTTAAAATAACTTGTGTGTCCTGGCCTTTGTGACTTCAATCCTGGAATCAAGTAGTAGT